GGGGGGGACTCTGTAAATAGCTCGAGACTCCGAGGACTCGGAAAATAGAAGCGGAAAGTCCGCGAGGGCTCGACGATGCGATCAACTCCGAGCACAAAGAGAGCCGATAGGCGCCGGAAGAGATCACTCACGTGATAACTGTACTCAGGCATGAAGAGCTTCTTGCATGTTGACGGATACCTCTCGGACGCCACGGTCCACGCGTAGTCGTACGGAACGAAATACGTGAACCGCTTCGTCGTGTCGTTCAGCTGATCGTTGAACCCGCGTCGCTGACCCAGCACGTAGGTCGTGCTGGAAAAAAAGATAAGAAGCAACGTCGACGATTAATTTCACGTCGGTAACTCCGCCGAGAATTACGGGTTTCCCTGTTTCTCCTCCTCTCTCCCTCTCTCTCTCTCTTTCTCTAGCTAAAGAACGGTGTCAGAGGAAGAGACTGTGGATAACGTCATAACGTCTAATCCGTCTTGCTTAAATCGCGTTAATTGAATCGAGGGGCTGCGAGCGCGCGCGCAAGAGAGAGAGAAAGAAAGATAGGGAGAGGTAAGCACCAAGCGGAAATTTTTCAGAGGCAATGGGGGATCTCGCGCGAGTAGAACACGCCCGGTAACATCGCGTTGTTTACTCTATCCGCTCGCCAGGGCTTCACCTTTGCGCGTCTCTTACGGGATTTAATCCGCCTTCCGACCTAGCCGGGGCTTGATCTCTCCGCTCTTTATAAAGGCTGCCGTAACCGCTGTGCTAGTCTACCTGTGCGAGATCCGTCCGTTTTCCGGGAGTACGCGCGCGCGCGCGAAAGCGCAGGTGTCAATTATAATTTTAAATCAGGAGATAATCCAGCCGAGTTTTCTTCGCGCGCGGCAAGCCGGCGACGGTATGCCGGGGCACGATTGTTGGCCGGCTATTTGGATCAACGTACATAAACAATCTCCCGCCGGATAATCTGCGCCCCGTTGCAGCGGCTCTCGTAAGATTACGTAAGACCTCAAGGGCGCTCGGGTCATCGGGAGTTTTCGAAGAAGCTACGACCGTTCTACGGTTCGTCGTTAATCTCCCCAGGAATATCGATGCGTGTGTGCGTGCGCACACGCCGAAAAATACGTACTACACAAAGCAATTGTTGGTAATAATTCAAATATATATCACGAGTTTTTATATAAATGCAAAGTTATTTATTCACAATATGTTCCCATATCCAAGAAACTTCAATATTTTGTAGCAAGAATATGAAATTAAAGAGAAAAAACGAGTTATTTGAGTTAATCAAATCTAACTTAACTGACGCTGAGATAGTCAGCGGAAATTTTTATCCGCGTTGCTGAGCGCGCGCGCTTCCACTTTGTCGATTATCAAGATCTTCCGGGTACTCGTTTTCAACGAACTATACTTTTTTTTCTAACGTGGAACGTTCCCCGGAATGTAATACTACTGTCAATTATTTGCTCACACCGCCGGGGATCTGGGCAGAAATTTTAATTTGTGTGAATGTTCGCGCGCACTTTACCCGTTTATTTATTTCGATATTGTCACGTTTTGCACAATTTTATTGTTTCCTTTCACTGAGGTTAAACTTGAACGAAAACATTTCTTTAATTTTCGCTCGAAGATCGCTCCAAACTTCAAACATTGTCGACAAAGATACGACGAACAGTGCTGTAAATAAATATTCGCTACGAAATCCCACAGGAAAGAGGGAAGCCTCGTTATAATTGACAGCTGTCATTATTATGTCGAGTCGTCACATCCTTAAAATGAAGTCATTTCTCGCGACTGTAATAAATTCGTCCCTGAAGTGATTGAGTAGCGCTTTTCGCGAGTCGCTTTCGAGATCTCTCGCGGGATCATCCGGATCATCGCGCGGCTTCCGGGACGTTCAAGCATTCGAATCACTTTCATCGGATTGCAAAACACTTCCGGAGCGATCGTCACGAGCTCCGGGTGTCTTTCGGCGGCATAACGCGGCGATAAAATTCTCGTCATTCGGATCTCCAGGATACGTGAATTTCCTCAGACTCGCCCGACGACCACGACTAATTGGCTCCGGAGTTCCGAGTCATAACCGCGAGATCTCTGAATATTCGTCTCCTTCGGATCGTCGGGTTCTTGGGATTCTCTCTCTCAAGACGACGTTCGCGATTAAAGGGATCGTCGTCGACGACGACGATGAATCCGGTTAACGTTTCTGGACCGGTGTAATCTCGCCGGGTGAGTTTATTTGCTTTTTGCGTGGCGCTTCGAGCGCCGAACGTTAAATTGGACAAGGAGGCAATATCGGGCGCGCCCGGGCTACGAATTTAATAGGTCCGACGTGGCGCTCTGTGGGACTATGCAATTCCGGCCGTAAGAGACTTCCACAGTTATAGTTTTTACGTCGGCCGAGGGGAGGCTCCGGGGTAATTGGAATGGGGATTTGTTGCGTTATTTTAATTAAATTCGAACGAGAGAGGACGGCGAGGGGAAAGGTCGGGAGTCGTGCGGAAGAAAACTTCGCCGGGGTCACGCGCGCGGATAAGATTTTCTTTCGGGGACGGATAAGGCGCGGTGTTCTCTTGGTGGATAATAGTAGTAGCGGTGGTGGTGGTGAGATGGCCGTGATCGTATCTACGCGTGGGGGGAAAGCTCGTGCACGTGTTTGCCAACCGCCGCGCCCACGTGTACCTAGAACGACGAGCGCGCCGTCGCTCCGCAATTATCGATGTCTTCCCAGATAGAGATACCTCCGCCCTCCCGTGAAAGATGAATCGTTCAATATATCATCCCGTCGTGCGAATAGAATCGCGAACGCGACGGTCCTCTCGCAGCGGAGCGGAATAACGGTACGGTTTTGGGATTACCGGGAACGCGACGCGAGCCCGGATTATTAAACGTTGGGATTCGACGGCGAATGTACGTGTATCCACAACCTCCCCCGTCCTCTTTGCGCGCTGCCCCCCCCTTCTTTCCTTTCTTTTTTCGGTTAAACTCAACGTCCTCCGTAAAGCGGGAGTTGATGATCCAGGCCGCTTTGCATAATGAATAAAGATGAAGAACGGAGGACGAGGAGGGGGAAGAAGGACTTACTTGAGCATCGGGTCGGTCCTGAGCTTGTCGAGCACGGTGGTGTACGGCACTCCGAGAAACCTGTCGATTATGTGAATAATTCCGTTGGTGGCGGCGATGTTGGCGGTGATGATGGTGGCGTTCACGCCGCCGCCCTCCACGGTGACGGTCTGATTTCCGGTGGGTCCCTGCACCACGTTGAAGTAGAGCTTCTTCCTGTCGGCGGCGGTCTGCACCTGCAAGAATTCGAGAGCGGAGTCTGTGAGAGAATGTTCGCGGCGGCGGGGGCGAGCGGAGGCGGCGGCGCGTGACTCGCGTTAACCGCCAGTCACGTGCGCGGCTTTAAAGGGGTTACGTTACACGTCGAAACTGCCGCGGAAGGTACAGGAACGGAGAGCCGAAGGGTAAAAAGACGAGCTCCCGTAACTCTTTCCGAGGACGCACAAAGAGAGAAAGAGAAGAAGGATGCTAAGCGAACGGAGTCGATCCTTCGAAGGCGCGTGACTCCCGAAGCACTCGGCTGTCTCGGTGCACGATTGATCGCGGAAAATCGGCGAAACAGCGCGGACGGACTGTTTCATGCGCAGCTGGTTCGTCGAAATCATTTTAATCGCACGTGCAATTTGGAAGAAACGTGTCGTAAACGCGACTGTCGAATGGATGGCATCTCGCATAGGAATTTTCGCAGATTTTCCTGTGTACAGCATGGATTACCCAAAGATGTTCCAAAATAAATTTCCCCGCTACGATACCAATTGGGAATTTCATTTTTATCCTAAACATGGGATGAAGCCCTTTTTTTTCATGATGCTGATTGCCACGTGCGACTGTCTCATCGCCAGAATGGCAATTTGACCGAATATTAGATCAGGAGGTTAATAAGCGGGGTCACGTTTTGAAGGACCGTCCACAATAGCCGTAAGACGTAAGCAGCAAGCTAATTAACCAATTGGATTCTCACAGTCCAAGAATAATCAACTGTGGTTAGTCAATTAACTTACTGCTTGTGTCGTCTTATTGCATACTTTACGGTTATATTTCTATGAGGGTGTTTGTTTTCCACTTAGAATCGTATGTTCGAAACGTTACACTTCTAACCCGAAACTCCGTAGATTTTCCAACTAGAACCCGTCGTTATTTCGAGAAATTCGACAGGATTCCAATTAGATTCCAAGAAATTTTCCATGCGAGATTTTAGAACGGTGAATGATTTAGATCTCGAGAGTCGAACGAGAGAGATTCGCCGGGCCGATTCGCCTTCGGAGAATCGGCGGAAACCGGTGTCGTGCAGAGGGAAATACACAGCGGCTATTGTACGCACGCAGCTTAAGATTGCAGTCGATACGGGAAGTGGGAATTAAAAGTTGTGCGCGTTTCCGCACACGGATGCGGCGCAAACTTTCCGTCCAGGTAGTTAGCTGGAAGTTCCGCGCGGAGTTACGGTAACACATGCACACGATCATGAACACGACAACAAGAACATCAACACAACATCGACGCGCCGATAAATGTGGGGGAGGAGGTCAGACGAGACCAAGGATCGGAGGATACCAGCGAGGATTATGCTTCGGGTCGGCGTACAGTGATTGAAAAAAAATTCTCGTCGTTTCGGCGACCTCACTTCGACGCTTCGCGCTAATTGCTCGCGGAATCGGCTCGCCACGCCGTGTGGAAAAAAGAAGAAAGGAAGGGAAAGAAATATGAAAAGCGAGCGAACGAAGAGCACCCTTTGAAGAAAGTAACGCGTCTATTATTCCGCAATTACGGCGGCGTCAAAGGTGGCCCCCATCGGCGGCAATCTCCGGAAGGAAATCGCATAATCGTCGCGGAACGCTTCCGGAGAGATCGCGTTCGCTCGCGATCCGCTTTCTTAGACGGCCGCGAAATTTGATCTTAAGAGACAGCCGTGGCGAGCGCGCGATAGCGGAGCGAAACGAATCCCTTCGATCCGCCGGATTATCCGGACGACGTGGCGTACGTCGCGCGCTCTAGCCGCCAGTGCGAGCTTTTAACTTGCAAATATCGTCCGGATTGCAAATCGACGCCCTTCCCTTACCCTCCCGCGCTCGTTGCCCTCTCATCCTGCCTTCACCCTCATTCGCTGATGTCGAGAATGGAAAATGGAGAAAGAGAGAGAGAGGGAGACAGCACGCGCGCCAAGAGGCAACGATCCCTTTTCCGGCTGATCCAGCTCTCATGAATTTCCCGGCGTGCACTCAGAGTCACTTCCGGTTACTTTCCTGACGTTCATCCACGCCTGAGATACCCGACCGAGAGAGAGGAAGAGAAAGTGTACGGGGTGTCTCGGAAAAGGCACACGTGCCCAATCTGGAAGCGAGGAGTGCGTTTGCGAGGGAGTTCGACGTCGGTTTTGCCTTAGCGAAATTACGACGTCCGTGAGAGTCGAGATACGGTTTTAAAACAGGGAGATCGCGGCAGTCCGGGGGAAGTACTTTTTGAGATCTCGAGTCTTCACGTATCGTCGTTCTTGAGTTTCTTTGGATTGGAGACGAGCGAGCGTTAGGAAATATTCAGATCCTTGCGGAAATCACGGCGGAGGCCTCGTTGAATTGAGAAGGAGGGAAGAAAGCAGGACACGAATCATATCCGTTAATGAAAAGAATATTTTCGTTGGTTGATAAAATATTCGATTCTGTATCTCTGATTCCCGTCGAGAAAAGTGCGCGACGTAGGAGATTTGTCCCCTTGATAAATTTTCTCGCCGTGCCGGAGAGAGAGGCATGTCCCGCGAATAAATAAAATATTCACCGCGGTCAGCTCGCGTAAATACGGTTTCAAGCAGCCGTCGGCTTTAAGGCGCGCGAGGGGCTTTTTAATTTTACCGTGAAATAAAGAGGGGTTTTCAGCCACTCGGCGATCGGCTCCGATAAAGGCCGCGGCACTTCCGATACGCCTCCGCAATTAATTTTTTAAGCGCGACCACGTCGGGGCTTTCGACAGTCGGCTGTCAGCCAGAAATAACAATTAGCCGCGCATAAAGCCGAGCGCTGCTGCCGAGTTTTATTTGCGCGGCGAACGATGGCGAATAAATTAATTAGGAATGTATGGGTCGTAACGGAGGATAAATCACGCCGCTGGAACGGAAAAAGAAACGCGCACGTGAAACGAGAGATAGAGAAGAAGAAAGGCTCTGAAATTGATTTATCCGATGTTCTCTCCATAATAAGACCGAAACGTTCGCGGGAGATTTGCATACGTGCTACTCGCTTGATCGGCCGGTGACCGTGTTCGCTGATATCAATCCTTCGACCGCATCATGGGTCAGATAGACCCGGTGAGTTGTACTTGATGAGCTACGGCGAAGAGAAGTGCATAATCTAAATTCTCCCCATTCCACGTTCTGCAAAGCGTGTTCCTAAATAATTTATTATTGTTTTTTAATCAATGTTTACCATTTCACAAACAAAAATAAACTGTTTTTGATACTTTCGACAAAAATATTTTTCCCCATAAAAACACACATTTTCGACATTCCAAATACCTTCTCTTCAGTAATTAAAAAAAAAAAATGTTTTTCAAACGTGCACGAGAGTCATATTTTTTTTCCGTTAGAACTATCTTTCAACTTTATCGTCCTACAGTAGCGGATTAAAATAATGAAAAGTAAACAGACTGCGATTTTCTGGGTAAAACACAACCATTCGCGACAGCATTATCTAAATTCGAATTTTTTCCAGTAACTTGATTTTCTACAAACGCGTGATCGAACACTGAGGTAGAAGAGTTACACTTTACTCTAGAATTTTGTGCAACCTCTTTTCTCCCCCGGTTTTACAGATATGGAATTTAGAAAATCGCATAGGCCCAATATGACGCCGCTTGCGGTGCGAGTGACTTTTCAGAAGTGTGTGGTTGGAGGGTTAAAAACCAACATGAAACTCGACAGCTCTCGGGGGTCTCAGAAGTCAGCTGTACATTATTCCGGAGCTTCAAGATCTGAAAGACGCAAGGAAGAGAAAGGGATTCCCTTTTAATGCTTTTTTAAACAACCATCGGTGTCGCGAACACACCGTGTCAAGGCGATATTTAAGCCGATAATTAAAACACAGGCACGGACCAGGCGTAGCCTGTGAGATATTTAAACTAATACCTTGAATAATTCCCTCACCCGGCTCCCTAAAATATGGATACGGAACAGGGAAGCCGGAGAAGAGAAGAAGAGCGGAGGAGAGAAGGGAGAAGAGTCGAGTTTCGCGGCGATATCGCGAATAAAATTGAATTTTACGCCGCGACCCCGACACGTTTCGCGGTGCCTGCTCTTCCGGGAGTGCTTTATCATTTCATCAGCGTACGAGTGCCTCTTCCGAGGCGAGGTGAGACGAGACGGGCAGAGCACGCGTGCACGACGTCGGGAGTATAAAGCATGAAAGCGGTGTAAAACATATCTCACGGCGATAAATTAGTGCGCGCGGGACGGCCGGTGCGTGTGGTGGTTAATGCAAATCAACCGGGACGGCGGAAAAAACGGCGGGAAAAGAAAGAAAGAAAGAGAAAGAGAAGAGCCGCGTATGTCCGACGTGGCCACGTCGTACCTCCGTGCGTGTGATTCGCGCGCCGCGTATTTTTCTTCTCCGCGGCTCCGCTCGCTTATCGTATTCTCGCGGCCGGCGGTTATTAATTATTTTCTTCCGGTCCCGCGCGACTCGCACGGTTTCCATGCAAATTGGTCGCGCCGCGAGAGAATTCCCGTCAACCCCCCGTTCGGCTGGGTCTCCCGTCTTTCCCCTGCCACAGGAAAATCACAAAAGGATAGCTCAGAATGAGAAACCATTTTTGAGTTCTCAATCTCCATTATTCTAGAATTTCCTTCCTCCGAGCAGGAATTTCCATTTATAAGTGGGGAGAGAGGAAGGGGGCTGAATGAACTATAGGTGGGGGGGGG